TTCACACAACGTGGTGATCAACGTAAAGAGGATGATTAATATGAAAATGGTGTATTCGATAGTACGAATGAAGTATATGAAAAAAAAAAAAAAAAAAGAGTGAGATAAATATTCGTTAACTCTTTTACATCATACATATATGCGTGCGGGTATGGTGTGTTTGTGTTTGTGTGTGTGTATAAAAACAAGTGTTTTCAGACCGAATAAATATGCGTTTGAATATGTATATGTAAATGAGCGTATGGATGTGTGTGTGTGTGTGTTCAAGCAGCCCACAAGAGTCTATTAACGAGGCATAAGGCGTATATAAGCAATATTTTTAAGTGCATAAATGGTGGTTCAGAGAGTGGGCGAGCCCCCGTTCTATGGGGGTCGCGTAAATCGTCACGAGGATTCCTTCGTTCCTGTCTTGAGCGCACAAAAATTCTATGTAATATTGTAAATATGTGTGTGTGTGTGTTAGATCGGTAGCAAACCAACGACGACAATGAGAATGATGAATATGAATGATGAATATATATATATATATATAATTAAATGAAAGATAATATTTTAATTTAATTTTTGATCTGTTCGTACGAATTCGTTTTTTTTTTTTTTTTATATTGACGATTAATTTGAAATAATTTAAATTATTATTAGATATAAATTTAATTTGATAACACAACAACGTTTTATGAGAAGTGATGGATATATGTATATAATTAATTAAACTAAAGAGAATATATATTATTTTAATTTTGATCCTTTCATTTTTTAATTCATACACGTTATGGGGACGATTAATTAGAAATAATTTAAATTATTATTAGATATGAATTTAATTTGATAACACAACAACGTTTATGAGAAGTGATGGATATATGTATATAATTAATTAAACTAAAGAGAATAATCATTTTAATTTTGATCCTTTCATTTTTTAATTCATACAAGTTATGGAGGACGATTAATTAGAAATAATTTAAATTATTATTAGATATGAATTTAATTTGTTAACACAACAACGTTTATGAGAAGTGATGGATATATTTATATAATTAATTAAACTAAAGAGAATAATCATTTTAATTTTGATCCTTTCATTTTTGAATTCATATACTTTATGGGGGACGATTAATTAAAAATAAATTAAATGAATATTATAGTATAATAATCGAATAAAGGTTGTGTG